TTCAAGAGTTCTCACACCCATGGTGTGAAAGGACCACTGTGTAGTCCTCTACAGTGTCATGGAGAAGGAGAAGGCAGGATTGTTACCACTACTGTACAGATAAGGAAATGGAGGCTCAGAGAGCAGATGAAAGTTCTCAGGCTGCTCAGCTGGTGAGGGTGAAAGCTGGGACCGGAAATGTCAAGTCTTAACATGCCTCTCTTTGCTAGTGACCTGGACGAATGTTTTTCTTAAACTCACTTTCTCCAGCCTGGACTGTCTTAGTTGACATCCTCCATAGTCTAAAATTGCTATGAGTTTGAAAGGTCCAAGGGGCAAGCTGTGAGACTTTCCAAAGATGAGCTGTAGGGAATTTGGGACAAAATGTGTTCCTCCCTCTTGCTCTTTGTTGCTGTCATAATACTTGTTCAGGTTTAAAATGTCCATGAGAGCAAGGAAGAAAAGAAGTGGCACCTGTCATTAATTGAGCATCTTCCTTGCCCTGGACACAGGGCTACTTGATTTTCCATTTGGAAAGTTAGATAAATTTATAGATGAGGTGATTGTAATATAGTATTTGCTTTTACATTATGCTAAGCAGCTTAGGTACATTAAATTAGTTAATTCTTATAAAAACCATATTAAGTAGACAATAGCATTCCCATTTCATAGATGGGAAAGCTGAGGCCTAGTGAAACACAAATCACCTGCTTGTGAGAACACAGGTTCTGTAAGCTCTAAACAGTTTTCTAATTTGAGAACTCCTTCCCAGCTATAGCATATGCTGTCTGTCTCACATGTGAAAATGCAGGACTGCTTACTAAGCAGGGGCATCCCAGACCTTGGAGGTTATGAGAGTTGGAACTGGAAGATGCTAGGAAGAGCTCAGAGGCTGCCGGCCTTCAGGTTTTGCTCCCCTGCTCCTGGGCATCTAGGACTGATCTTGCTGTTGGAGTGCTGGCTGGGGGTGGCGACAAGTGGGAGAAGAGAAGGAAGGGGAGCTGGAAACCCAGCCTGAGCAGCTGTTCTGTTAGCTGCCTTACAAGTGTGCATCTGCAAAGCATTTCATTTTAAAGGGAAAGCTCTGCTGCTAGGAAAAGAAGTGTTTAGAAAGCACTCTGCTAGCTCAGTTTGAGGCTGAGAGACAGAGTGGCTTAGTTAGCCCATGTCACAGTTGCAAGGGGCCCTGAAGTTTTTTCTCTTTTTCACTGAAATGTGCACACTGTCACTTTCCTCTGCGGCCTTTGGAGTGCTCATTTTCAGGTTCAGGGTCATGCAGCCTCTGAGGATCTGCAGCAGCTTCAGGCTGCTCCATGCACATGATCGCTGACCTGTATGCTTTAACTTGGCTCTATCGCCCCATTGGACCTTGGCAACCTTGTGAGGTTATTTCCATTTCTGTGTAGCATACAGTGGAAATTACAGCCAGGATTGTGTTACTCTCCTGGCCTAACCTTCAAAGACACTGTCCTACTGAGTACATGGAATTGTTGAATTATTGAGTGTCTACTGTGTGCACTGTGCTGAAAATATAGGCAAGGTTCCTGACTCCAAGGGCTTTGTGGGAAGACATAAAGAAATAAGGAATTTTGTCAGCTATTTTTGGAAATACTTCTGTTTGTTATGTACAGTTGTTATGTGACAGTTACATCATATAACAAGGATGAAATTGCCTCATAGAAATGGGATAGAAAGAGTCTTGAGCAATGGGAAAGAAGAAAGATAGGAATTGGTGAGTACCTTCTAGAATTGCAAGGGGTGGAGTCTGCACTGTGAGCTAGTTAATTCTGGCCTCTTCCACTTATTGCCTCTGAGACTTGCACAGTTTACTTGTTTTTTAAGCCTTTATTTTTTCATCTGTATTATGGAAGTGAGACTGCCTCGCTCACAGTGGTGTTGATAGGATGAAATGGGATAATGTATGCAACCTGCTTAGTACAATGCTTAGCACAGAATAAACACTCATTAAATTATAGTTGTTATTATTTGGTAGGGAGGAGCCTAAGAGACTATTTTTTTTTAACCTGATCAGTGGTGTGATCTGAGATTTGCTTCTCAAAAAAACTCTCTGCTTTTAGAAACAGAATTCAATCACCTTAGCCTACAATGGTTATTTAAGGCTCCAGTTTACCTTTCTGAGTTACCTGTTTGTCTCCACTTATCTGCCCACCTCTCTCACTAGCAGCCTACACATCCTCCAAGTTTGCTATCCCTCATTGCTCCTTCACCTTGCCCCCTTTCCTGTCCCACCCTCTTTAATACCTAGCCCAGAAGTCTGTTCCTCCCATTGAGGGCACCCTACCCAAGTCTGAACGTGTTGGGTGGACCACATCTCCTCCTGCATATGGTCAGCCTCTCCCTCCTACTAAACCTGTGAGCTCCTTCAAGCTGGCTGGACCTCATAGCTCTCTGCTGCAGCATTCCTGCAGATTCAGGTACACAGTAGGTGCTCACACATCCTTGCAACAGATTCATTTAGTGCCTTTCTCCAGTGTTAAGTGCAAGGAAACACATGATAAAAATGCAAGCCAGAAAACAATCACCATTGAGCTGTGTGCTCATTAGCTTTGGGAATGGATTTCTGGGGAAGATCTGGCCTCTCCATAAATGACATCGATAACTTGGATCTTTGCAGAAATTGAAGAGAATCCTGATGACTAATGTATTGGGAGAGACCTGAAGGAAGCCAGACTAGTGACTTCATTCTCAGAACTTCTTGGGTGCCCCTTGGCTCCTAGGTGATCTGCAGAGGACCTCTGGTATGTAAATAAAGGAACCTCTCTGTTGCCTGGGATGACCACTTTCCAAGCTGAGCCCCTGGGCGAGCTGGGGTGGGAGGATTTCTATCTTTCTATCCTCAACTTGAAATATCCTATGCCCTTGATTAAATTCAAGCTTGGGAGCTTCCTTAGTGCTCTCTAGAAAGTAACTCCTTATTGTATGTTTATTTCCCCAAGGGCTTATTTCAGAGAACCTGGAGCCTGTGTTTCTAACAACTTCTCTAAGGAAAACATTGTAGTTCATGTTTCCAGAACTGAGACTCTCAGGGGGGGTCTTTCAAAAGTCCATCTCTATTACCTTCTCCTGGCCCGGCGTTTGATTGTAGCTGCAGAGGGCGAGTTTGTCTTGAACAGTTCTCCAGACAAGTGACTTGGCAGTTGGAAATCTGACATTTGCTGCTGGGCTTCAACTGTAAGAGTGAGTAGCACAGAGACAGAATGCTTTGGAACATTGAATTATTTCCCTTAATTCCCAGAGCCTTAATGTTTCTTTGTTTTGAAAATGACCTCACTGCCTTTTGTATTTGTAATGGAATGCACAGTCATTTACAGGTAATCACACAATTATCTCTTACTCTTTTGTTGTATCTCCCCATTTTCCAGAGCGCTTTCATTCAGATTATCTCATTTGAGCCTCGTAACAGTTCGGAGAGGCAGGCAGAGGGGCTTTTTTAATCTCCACTTTTCAGTTGTAGAAGCTGAGGTTTAGAATATTTAAAACAGTTGGCTAGAGGCCATACAGTTAGTATGTAGCAAAATAAGGACTAGAATCTGAGAGAGTCTAACTCCTGCACAAGTGTTCTTTTTACTACTTACTGTTTGTGTGACCTTTGGAATATGCTTAACCTTTCTGAACCTCAATTTCCCTGTCACTAAACTGGGTATAAATACTCCAGGGGTGGTTGTCTGTAAGGATTAAATGAGATTGTCTGGGAAAGCCTTTACTAAATGGTAAAGAATCCTACTAATGTGAGGCTTCATGAGTACATGTACCTTGAGTCCAAATAGTGCTATCAGGGCTGTGGCAGAAAAGAGCATTTTTTACCCCCATTTTGTGAAGACACTGAGAAGCAGAATGGTGCCGGACTTGTCAGCGATCATGAGCTCCCAGCCCTGTGTTGCAGGCCGCTTTGTTTTTCTGAGAATGCTTGTGTTGGCAAGACCCTCTTTGCCTACAGAGCTCTCTCTTAATGTTCCTTGGAATAGTCTTGCATTTCAGGGACAAGTTTTAGGTTCTGCAGGACCAGAGAGCCAGGAGCGGGGATCTGGGATGAGATATGCATCCCTGAGCTTTGTTCACAAAGGGTGGAACGTGGCCTGGCTGATGAGGTAGGAGAACTTGTCTTGAAGCTCTACTTCTGTCATTGTTCAATGACTGGGATGTTAACAGGGAATGCCCTGTGAATACACAGGCCATCAGCACATATGCACAATGGGTTGCTTAGCAGTAACACTTCTTGAAAAAAAAACAAACCTAAAAGGTGGATTTCAGGTTGGCAACAAATGTATTAGGAGTTAGCAGTGTGCTGTGAACCCGAGACAGAAGGAGTGACTGAGGGATGAAATCTTGGATGGCTTCATTTTGTATCCATATTCACCAACAAAAATGCCAAACCAGTGAGACAGACACAGGATTTTTGTATGGTTTGAAAAGGCAGAATGAGGAGGAGAGGTTGAAGGCCAGGGAGCCAGATTTTGTTTCCATAGAAGGAAAAACTTTCTGTTGGGAAGACAGAATTTGCAGCTGCAGGAGAACTGATCTCCACCTGCCTGGAGGCCTCAGGGATGCCAAGGAGGATTCACAGCTGGGGTGGGGGCAGGGCACTGGGCTCAGTGGCCTTTATGGTCTTTCTCCTCTTGACATCCTAGACCAGTAGTTCTCAGTGGTCAAGAGGAAGGAATCAAACACATGTTAGGGAATGAAGGGCCCCCTTCTAGACGTGGAAACTGATATGCAAATGGTCTTTGCAAACTGGAGGGTGGATACACACTCTCATTCTGGTTTTCATGCCTATCTTGTAGCTCCCTGCTTGGTCCTTGGCATTGACTTCCCAGGCTATCCCTGGGCAGCTGTTTGCAGTGGAATGTCACTTTCCTTTACTGAAATGCTCCTGTTGGAATATTGGAAGGGACTCTCAGCTCCTGAGAGGATGACCGTCATTATATAGAACCAAGTCTGATGGCTGGCCTAGTCTTCCCTGGTGGAAGTGAGGACCATTCCTCTGCCCTCTTCAGCCCTACCTCTGGGGCCTCCAGGAAGGACTGCAGTGGCAAGCCTTCTGTGAGCAGACCACTCCTCCCCTGCACTGCCACTTCCTCCAACAATTCATCTCTCTCTCCTTTCTCCTCCCTCATTTAGTTAGAGTCATTTTAGACTAGATTCATTCCTGACTGACATCACTTGTCCTATTTTGTCCTCTAACATGTCCCAGGAACTTCAGATTAGAATTACTCTTACCAATTAAACTGGGCATTCCGTGCTCCTTCCCATCCCTCTCCCCTTAGCCATGTTCTCCGTAAAGTCTGGTTTGGTTCTGGGGCCTTCCTGCCTGGTATCTGCCCAATGAAGAATTCATGCAAAATGAAGTGCTCAGGAGGACTCTGAGCCCATGGAATCAGGGGCTGGGATCTGAGGGTGAAGGTTGTTGTAGCACTTACATGCCACCTGAAGAACTACAGACTGACTCTTGGTGACCTCTTCAGGTGCATCCCCCTGAATGCCTCCCCTCCCTCCAGATGAATAGACTGATTTCATGAATTTAGTTGCATTCTGTGGGCGCCACTCCTAAGGTGAATTTAAAGCCTTTCAAACTAGTCACTTCCTCATTTTTTGTGGGGGAGACTTTTTATACAGACTGACTCTTGGTGACCTCTTCAGGTGCATCCCCCTGAATGCCTCCCCTCCCTCCAGATGAATAGACTGATTTCATGAATTTAGTTGCATTCTGTGGGCGCCACTCCTAAGGTGAATTTAAAGCCTTTCAAACTAGTCACTTCCTCATTTTTTGTGGGGGAGACTTTTTCCTGTAACAGGACAGCGTGTGGAACTGTTGAGACTCCACTTCTTTTGGGGTTAATCATTTACCGAGTAAGGAATTCTGCCTTAAGTGGGGCATGTTCTTCAAGTGCCAGAGGAGAGAAGGTTGATTTTTCTGACATCCTCCAGCCAGCTTCTCCATATATGGAAATGTTTACCCACCACACTGATCTATTGGAAGAGAAGGAGGTGACTCAGGGTTTAGGAGAAGCAGGATTTGAATTCTTGTTTTCAGAAACCAAGTTGCCCCCTCCCCCTGCCTCCCCCCCCCCTTTGCCCCTTGTTCTGGAAGCTGAGGAGAGAATGTCTCAGTGCTGTTCCCCTCGGGCCTCAGGACCACCTCCGTGCAGTGGGACTCAGGGTGTGTGAGAGGCAGTGAGGGCCAGCGGAGGGCCAGCTGGCTGTGGGGCCTGACGTCTCGTGAGTACATCATTATTGCCAGGGCGAATGGCATTTCTACTCCCAGACCCAGGGCTTACAGTCCTGAGGGCTGGCTCGCTTGCATGGTAATGGGCCATGTTGCTGGGAGCAGTGGCTGCTTTAATTTGGGGTGTGGACAGCTGCTTTCCCACGGGAGTACTTCTCACAGTGGGATTTAGAGACAGGCTCTGACTGAGGAAAAATTCTATTTGTGTATATATAAAAACAAATTGAGATATTTCTTCCTACCTGAGGCCTAGCTTGAGTTGAGTAGAAAGATAATTTGGTAGTGTCGTATGTCTGATTGTTAGGACAAAAGCAAGAAGCCAGCAGAGAGATTGGTGGACACTTGCGAGGGACAGTTTCAGCTTGTAAAGCAGAGTTACGGTTGGATTTAAGGGAATGCAAACTGTTGCTGTATATCTATATGTGTATAGGGTGTTGGCCTGGCATCTCCAGTTTGAATAAATACCTGGTGTGTGGGCACATTGTGCAGATTTGATAGGCTGTCGGAGTTGGAGAGTCTTGGAGATTACTCAATTAATCTTCTCATTTTACAGCATGATAACGGACAGTGGAGGCCCAGAGAGCACAGCTAACTTGCCTTAGAAGATGTGTCTAATTAGGTGGAATTACAGCCCAGATGTTTTGACGCTGTCCATTGCTCCTTTTGCTTCAGGCAAAGGTATAGAAGATGCCCATTTTGCAGATGATGAAATTGGGACTCACATGCCAGAGTTGCCCACACTTACTGCTCTAATTGGTGAGAAATTGAGAACAAGAATCAAGCTCTCCCAATTCAGACCTCTTTTTGTCATGCTATCTGGGCTCAGATGCCTGAATTTTATTTTTTTTAAAAAATTTTATTTATTTTCCTTCTTTGGTTTCTACTTCACCTTTTTTCTGCTTTGGTCATGTTTGAATTGTGCTGCTGCCTTCTTATCTGCTTTCCTGCCTATGTCTTTTTCTTTCCTAAAAGGGGATGGTAGCTTGTCCAAGAGGCTAACTGAATAGTGGAGACCTTGATTTCAGTTTCATTTGTGGTGGTGGAAATTATGCATGGGCTTTGAAAGAAATTGATCAGGGCTTTCCATCTAAGCCTTTACTTCTATTCTTGAAGCTGCAAGAATGGTGGAGTAGAATTCCCATTCCAAGGTGAGCCCTGATTATGAATAGATTTTAAACACCTACATACTTCAGTCTTCTTTGAATTGATGTTTGACAGAGACCAAGAGGGCACCACCCTGTTCCAATCCACCAGATGTGACATGGCTCTAATGAATAACTGTAGGAAGTTCAGTTTCTGATCACCTTGGGGACCCCTTTCTCCAGGGCAGGGGGGTTGTTGGAAATGTGTTTGGGAAGCACTTTGATGCCACGTTAGGTGGCAGATCATGACAGAGCAAAGGACGTTCTCCTGAGACCTATGTTTGGGCAATGTCACCTGGAGGGCAGCAGCCCCGAGCTGCTCTGAAGCTCTGGGGTGCAGGGCCGTGCCCAAGACCCCCAGGAACCTACACACATGTCTCCTCCACGACCTGTGGCTGGGCAGTGACTGTAGGCCCTGACTTGAGGCATGAAGGCCAGGACGGCTTCCTCTTGTGGTGCTGATGAGCAGGGGCGCCAAGAGGTTAGGGTCGTAGGACTCAGG